GTCCAAGAAGGTCCTGCTGTCCTACCGATCTCGGTTCTCCTTCACTGTGTCGGGCGCGGACGCCGGGCGGTCTCGCGGACGCAGCTGGGTCATGATCGAGCCTGGGCGAGACGTGCGGAGGGCCCAGACGGTCCTCGAAGGGTCTCCGTGCCAGCTCAGCTGCAACGTGAAGGCGTCTGAGAGCCCCTCCATCTCCTGGGTGCTCCCCGACGGCTCGGTGCTGAAGGCGCCCACGGACGAGCCGGGCGGCAGGTTCTCCATCCTGACCAGCGGCTGGCTGAGGATAAAATCGGCGGAGCGGGCCGACTCGGGCGTCTACCAGTGCGTGGCCCGGGTGACGGATGAGACGGACAGCCTGGCGTACAGGGTCCTCGTGCAGCCTCGCGCCGTGCGGCCCACGGAGGGACACGTGGTGACCGTCGCAAAGAACCCCGGGGAGCCCCTGGCGCTGCCTTGCCAGGCGCTGGCCATCCCCGAAGCCCAGCTCAGCTGGATTCTTCCCAACCAGAGGATCGTCAACGAGTTGGCCAACACGTCCCACGCCTACGTCTTGCCCAACGGGACGCTATCCATCCCCGAGGTCCGCGTCGGCGACGGAGGCTACTATCGATGCGTCGCGGTCAACCAGCAAGGGGCCGACCAGTTCACGGTGGGGGTCACCGTGAGCAGGAAAGGGTCGGGCAGGGCGTCCAAAAGGGGCCGACGCCCGGGTGGGAAGGCCCTGGCCAGGCCCAGAGGGGATGTCGTCGAGGACGAAGGGGGCTCGGGCGTCGGCGGGGACGATACCCCGTCGTCGAGCAGAGTCCTGCATCCAAAGGACCGGAAGGTGTTCCTCCACCCGAAGGAGGACCCCGAAACCAAGAAGGGGCGAAGGAAGCCGAAACCCTGGAAGCACGCCGAGAGGGAGCCCGAAGCCAACGTCGCTGAGGGCCGCAGGGCCTTCGAGTCCCGACGCAGGGTCAACATGGCCAGCAAGCAGATCAACCCCGACCACTGGGCGGATATCTTAGCCCGAGTCCGCGGGAGGAACGTCCCCAAGGGCACGGGAGGGCCCGAGGCGGGACCACCA